TACATATTAAAATTGATTTTAGTAAATTTGTTATGGATATTATTTTAAAGGTTATATTCTACTAAACACTTGCAGTAATTGTATGATGCAAAGAATGTTGTTTAGGATCTTGTGCTTTTAGGAGGGTTAGGTGGTCCATGTATTTCTCAGCTGAACACTGCCACGATTTATAAAACAACCTGTTACACTGCTTCAAAACACATATCAAATGCACTCTTGTTATAAGAAATATTCTATTAAAACCTTGGCAGGCTTTTATTACTGATTGCAGGTTTCTATGAGTCTGTCATTCAGATCTATAATGAATACTGTTATTTGTTGCTATTCATTATGTCATGCAAATTAGATCAGTCAATACTTTGAGACAGCGCAATTCATGTCTTTAAAACTGTGATGAATTGACGTTTTAATCATATGTTCTTTTTTTAACACAGACAACAAAGAGTCACATAGACATAGTGTGACCTTTTAGTTTTTCAGTTGGCATAAGATGATGTATCACCTAAAATAATCCTAAAAATAGAAGCCAGCAGGTGTGTAGCTGCCATCCAACTAGAATAATTATGATCATTTTCAGCAGAAAGCCATTTGAAAACCACTGAGTAAAATTCATCACACCTGTACTGATCGACTTTCAGTCATCATCACCTTTTACTGGTCCCAGCCACTATAATGTTGGCCTTGGCTTATCAATAAATCTCTGAGATATGAGTTAGCCATTATATTACAGAGTAAGTTCATTATTATCATTTGTAGTCTTGTTTAGTAATTAAAAAGCTTAAAGAAGGACTCTAGACAAATAAAACCCTAATCCTTGCAGTGGGGCTAACCCCCGTACTGCAAGGGTTGTGCTACTTTTGTCTAGGGTTCTAAAATAACAGAAACTCACCCAAACCATGAGCCTGGCTGGCTGCTAGACTGGTCCCTTCCCCCTCTGCACCACCAGCAGTCTAAGGTCCAGTGAATCATCACATACTATACTGTGCATAGGACATGAAGACACCAAAGGACATACCATTGCTGGAATGGAGGAGGAGACAGGATGCAGGAACAGGTCTAGCAGCCAGCTGGGATAATGGTTCGAGTGAGTATAACTCTTATTTTAGCTCCCTAGACAAAACAAGCACTTACTTCTTGCAGTGTGAGGGTAGCCGTACTGGAAAGGTTAAGATTTTATTTGCCCAGAGTTCATCTTTATTATTTCAACAAAAAAGAGAGATCGATAAATAGCTGTTGTGCTATAGGTGTGAACACCAAACCTTATATATACACACATGAAAATTGCACTGTGCTAATTTTACCATGAAAGAATATTAATCAACATATATACACAAATAATGAGAACCAATTCCCATAAGTATATGCAAAAACCACTGTTAAACTGTGCTATTAATTTAATAAATAATAAACAAACTCTGTCCAAAATAGTGTATTATCCACAAAAAAAGTGACACACAAAGAATTCAAATACTGCAACAAAAACAATTAGTCAATTTAGCCAGTTGATGCTCACTTAATCCCTTAATAATAAACAGTGGACTGTCCAGATAGCATATAGTGTTTATCCAACAATGTGATTATTAATGTGAAAGAAATCCTTGATAAACACTTAGGGGTTTATTCACTATTGACCCGAAGGATACAGCCGTAGCTTTGGCTGATCCTTCAGCTCTCTTTGGCCGCCAAATCAAAGGGCTGCTGTACAGGCTATTCACAATAGCCCGTACAGCGGCCCAGGTGGCAGTGTCGTGCGCCCCGCAAATGACAGCTGGGCGGAGCCAGCTACGATCTCACGGCTCACTCCGCCCAGTTGTAATTCATTGGCCGGGACCTGCTAGAAGTCATTGGTGCTAGTTCTGAAGCCTTATACAGTATGTTAACCTATAAAGAGCTTCAGTCACTGGTTTTGAATAGTGTACTTGCACCGCTGTTAAGAGGTGACTTCCTTATAAAGTTTATATTAGTTTTAGCTATTTAATATTGTAGTGTTGGTGCCATTTAATTATAATCACCTACAATTCATTAGTTGTATTTTGAGGCATTCCACTGCGTGTTACCTTCAAGCCCAAAGTTAATCCTATGCTAAAATAAAATTTCCTATTGATGCCTATTTTAGTCGACCAATTCTTAGGGTTTCACATAAACCGAGGAGGCAAAACCTAAAAATGCTTTCTTTGTGTCAGTCCTTATTGTCCTGTCATATTGCTACCATCACTGGTTTAGGTGGAAACCATGGATGGAACATTCTCACAACCAAAAATTAATGGAGTCATTTTATTACATACCTTTAACTTAAAATATATTGTAGCATTGTTTGTTTGTATAGAATAAAGAAGTATTAACACTTTTTTCAGTTTTTTTCCTGTTGTTGTGGAGGTTTTCTTTTACTCTTCCGGGATACTCAATCAGAAGATAGAAGGAAGTAGGACAAATCCACCCTTAGTTGTCACTGGAACTGGCGTCCTCTTTGGAACGTCTCTTATTCCCAATTCACCTCCTGTCAGAGTGACAACTGTTCAAATTTTGGATTTGTCATCACTTTCTGTCCCAGTGATACTGGTCACCAGGACAAGCAGAGAATGGACCTCCTCATTGAAGAAAAAATAGACAGAAATAAAAAGCATGCAGAGAATCTTATTCCTACTCTGATCAAAACTAAAAAAGAGTTTAAGTAGAAAAACACTTTAATAATGTAATGTTGGATAAACACCTTTCTTGATCCCTGCAATTATGAAAAGTTTTGGTATATTATGTGGTGTCATGTTTAAAACCTTCCCAGTTGTACACATATATGAGACAGCAGAGGGCCTTACTCTGCTGCCACATATATGCTTTTCTTTTTTGCACTCAATTGCCCACCCCAGCACTGTAATTATGCTATCACTGACAGCTTCCTAGTCATAAGGTGGTCATACACTTTACAACCATTGCAAGACCTTAGTCTTGCGATGGTTGTAAAGTAATTAAAAAAACATACCATCTGCCCATCTTGGACAGGCAGATCATACTTGCGATCATTGCAAGCCCGCCCCGCTGAGGGGCGGGCTTCCGATGACCGCAATGCTGAATGGTCAGTGTGCGCGTGCGCACACCAGCCCGTACGGCATTTGTCTACCGAGCATGCCACAAACCAGCCGAAAATCGTAAGATTTTCGGCTGGTTTTCGAACATGCTCCTTAGACAAAAGACGTGCGACCGTACAGTAAAAACGGTTGCACGCCTTCCATACACTTTGCAATTATTGTGCGATAATCGCACAGTGTATGGGCACCTATAAAGAAATGATCAGGAGATGGTAGTTCAGGTTCCCAGTCAGGTGATGCCTGTGACATCCAATCACAGTGATCACATGATTGGGAAGCCCCTGGGTTCAGGTGTTTCATTTAATGGTGGGAGGGAAGTGATTAAGGTCTGCTTTACTCCTATGTATTTCCAAATGTTTTGTTTGTTTATTTAATCTCGATGTGAGGCAAGATTTTTATAAGACTATAATACTGTACAATGCTACAAATCTTGTTAAAATAAGCATAAAAAGGAGCAGGAATTAAATATAATGGAGTTTACTACCACACTTGAAAAATAGTGTAAACCCTCATAATTGAGAAGTGTGGTACCTACCTATTTTACCCTCCTTCTTGTAACATTTTAAAAGCTATGATAACAAGCACAATACAAAATCTGGACACCTTTAACAAATTTGGAAGTGCTTAATTCGTATTGGTGCATTAGCTGTCGCTGACAGAAACTCCAGTCCTCTTCCAAGGGTTCTAATTCATGGAGCTCTGTGGAGATGCGTCCTCTCACATAGCCAGTCAGCCACGCCCCCGGGTTCTAATTTTTATATACATATAACACAAACTGTTTTTTTGTCAGTTGTAGGTTCTTTGCATATTTAGCAAGCCAAACTGCACTTCCTGTAAAGGAGTTAAAAAACAGCTAACATGCATCAAGCATGTTTGAAAATCTCTGCATGCAGCAACAAGTGCACACCTACACCTTTTAATTATTACAAAATGTTCAAATTGCACTGCTTATCAAAAATAATCCTATCATAAGCATCCTAGCTTATTGTCATATTATGTATGTGTATTTTGCATTATTGTCATACTATGCACAGATATTATTTACATTATTATTATACCATGTACAGATGTTATTTGAAGCATTTCCATTAACCATTTAAAATAAACAAGGATATTGAATATTTGCTATTCAATAAATAATCAAAGGTGAACAGGCCCATAACAAACGTCCAATAACTCAACTCTTGGGAACTCCTGAATTGATTATTACTTTGTTTTCTCAACACTTTCAATAAATTCAAAATGGGAACTATGTGGCCTCATGTAGCCTCATTTTATTAATATTGTGTGATTATAAAATTGTGGTCAATCCCAAATGCCTAGTACCTTTTGTTAATAGCAAACAAAGTAAGCATTTATTTTGCCCTTGAGCATTTTACAGAAAAAACTGTAAACTCCTAAATTTTATTATTCTGTATTATTTTAGCATTATAGTACTTTACTATGCTTAAAAGTAATGCAAATTCTAAGTGATGAGTACAAAGAATGGTATATTTTCCATTAAAATTAAACAGAATATTATAAAAACATTCTGCATTTGACAATAATAATGCAAATTGATGTATAATAGCAGCAAACCTGAGGGAAAACTGTTTCTGCTTCAAAGTGAAAGAAAAATAAGACATTTATTGTTGGAACTGCAGAGCAAAGGTAGTTTGAAATGTAAAATTCACATGATAAAGTGGATAAGTGAATAGTAAATGTTATATGCAAAAATGTTTATTTATTGTGTTATTGCATATTATTGTTTTGCATAATACATAAACATTGTAGTCTTGTTTTTTGGTTAAGACTGATTCCTGAACTATACCTAAGTTAAAGTTGAATTCAAATATAAAGATTCATACAAACATATGGTATACACTAGATACACATATGACAAACTATTATTACTAATGATAATATTTTCATTTTCAGCACTTGGGAGACCGTTGGGCTGCCATATGCAGATGGACAGAAGACAGATGGATTCTTTTACAGGAAATTCTTCTGAAATGGCAACATTTTGCTGAGGAACAGGTTAGTTTTATGTAGTATAATTATAATCAGGGCTGTATGTAGACATCATGGGAAGGTGGAAGTTGGGCCCCTTGTGTTATGTAGATATTTTAGTAAAAACTAAAGCTAGAACACACTCTATGAGGTAGCATACTGTCTTCTTTATGTGCAGAACCACTTTGTAACTCTACAGCCCACCAAAAATGTGGGTATTGAAAGTGAACACGGATTTTTGTAATTGATCATACACTTTTTAGAATGAACATTTTGCTTTGTTAATTCAACAGACTCTACTCCTTTAAAGTGACACTAAGCTCAGAAGTTAAATCATAAAAATGCATTCAAGTACCCTAACAATTAACAAAATTGTATCTTATTTGTGTATCAGTCAGCTGTAGAACCTCAAATCATCTCTGAATTCTTGCTGACACTGTCCTTCTTCTAGAGGGTTGCTACTTCTGTTTCTCGTGGTTCCTGTGTGTGTTGTAAAGTAGCCATCTCTCCAAGCTCACTCCAAACAATAAATGTTTCCCTGAGCTATGACTAACTACAATAAAAACAAATAACAATCAAAGCCCAGGCTGGCTACTGTCTACGGCATGCTAAATTTGAATTTGAGACACTCCAGTCTATGGCAGCCTCTCTCTCTCTCTCTAACATTAGTAGACATTTAAAACATGGTGAAATTCGTTGTAAAAAATGCTTATTCTTGGTAATTGGTTGCCCTGTATGTTAAATGTTAAATCTTTTCCAGGTACACATATTGGAGGGTGTTTATATCCTACAATGTTTTTACATTGTTTTCCATATAAAGACTTTACAACTTTATTTTCGATTAAGTCAGTATCATATTTTATTGTTTCACTGTATTTTAGTGCCGATTTGATGCCTGGCTTATAGAAAAAGAGGAGATGATTAACACCATTCAGAATACAGAGTTGATGGATCAGAATGAAACGCTTTCCAACTTAAGAAAATTAGCGGTATGCATATTTACCTAAAGTAATCCTTTTATTTTATCTCATACATTAGTGGCCAACCAAAACACAGTGCACTGCAACACACATGCTATGGGGCATTGACGAGAATGTGACACATTGGGGTTGATTTACTAACCTTATAAACACACCACGAACATGTATACACCTCTGTAGTGTGTTCCCTCCCAGCATGATCTAAGGGTGGAATCTAAACACCTTTGTAGTGTGCAAATACCCAGCAGGTGTGTTGTGCAAAGCCAAGCATGAATTGCAAGGTGATGTTGTGTAAATTAGCTCTATGTTGTGTTGCTTGCGTTGATGAATGCAGGAATGTAAATGCACCTGGTGCGTGCGTGTGTTTTAGGTTAGTAAATCACCCCCATTGTGTTCTAAAATAAAGGGACTCAAATGCACCTCATCTGGGGCAGACTGTACAATGCGCATCGTTCTGTGCTCGGTGCACATGTTATTTGAAGATGCACATTGAATGGCACTTCAGCACATAACCACAACACAAGTGGTATACATTGGCCCCAAATTGTATCTGTCCTCATAATCCAGGTTTGCTTATCCATGAAGGTAAAGAAATCCGTTGTCGATTAATAAAAAAATTAATCAGGTATCGACACTATTTTTTTTTGGCTCTGAGTTTATAACCTATGAATATTTACAACTATTTTTAAAATGTAAATGCATCATTCTGCCAGGAAAATAAAAAAGAAATGTTTGATAACTTCAAAGTTTGTTCAATTCTTTGTTGATCAAAGTTCTTTACAAAGTTCCCATAACAATGCTTTTTTATTATTTTCCATTCATCCTGCACAAAGAACAATTAATATAAGATGATGAACAGAGGAAAATTTCAAAAATAAAGGTTATTTAATTACAAAACTTCCAAAATATTTAAAAAGTTGATAAGTCACAGTAAATTGTCTTTTGAGTCATTATAATATCACACTGTATACAGATGTTCCTCACTTACCGACTTACCTGTTTTGCGGCCACTCGCACTTACGACCGACCTCCGACCTTGCGCGTCAGCGTCAGGGCGCCGTGTCGCTGGCGGAAGTGACGTCCTCCGATCTTCACTGCGGGTCCCGGTAAGTATTTCCATTGCCCGATGTACAGTACACTGTTCGGTACTGTACATCGGCAACGCTATACAGTACTGTACTAATGCAGTACAGTACTGTATAGAGTTCCTCACTTAACGACCAATCCGTTTAACGACCTGGTCGTAGGAACGGAACTCGGTCGTTAAGTGAGGAGTACCTGTATACTTTAAAGGGTCATCATATTCTATTTAACAAAAAAGGAAAAATAAATATGCCGTACATAAAATAGAGAAAACTAGAAGAATGAGTATAGATAAAAGATTGCATGCAGTTGAATTACACCGGTCAAATAGAGGATTTGAAGAGATATAATACAGTGTAAAGGTCAGAGGAAGAAGAAATGATGGAGATCACTATCTCTGAGGAATAAGGGCAGAATATAGATGACATGCTCTTGTGAAGAGCTGCTCATAGCTGTGCTGATTACTGCTAGTGCTTTTATAGATGGACATTGCAATTAGGTTTTCATAAAGGCACCTAGGAAAATGATGAGGAACACGCATATATAGAGATATACATATTTATTATATTGTGATATTTGCGGAACTTAGCACAATGGTAAGCATGCAGGGAACAGTCTCAAAGCCATGTTTTTAATCAGAAAGAGTCTTTATTTTCCATATAAGCTATAAGCCAAAGCAATCCAACAAAAATAGCTGGTCTTCAGCATACAACAAAATAAAGTTTGCTTCTCTTCAGCATAACAACATATATTGGCTCACCAATTCTTGAGTTGTCCCACACACTCACAATGTCCCAGTCTTTTAACATTTTTCTCTTGCAGCACTGCTGCTCAGGCCCAATTCTCAGGGCCACTGTCTGTTTCCTCCAGCCAATCTCAGTAATGTGCTAACCTGCACAATTGGTTTCACAACCCGCAGCACCCTGCTGCACTCGACACCACTCTAACTCCTGGGTGGAGTGCTCCTGTCTCCCAGTTGGAGCCCTCAACACATCCCAGCACCCGCTTCATGAGGGTTGTACACAGGTGCACAATTAGGTGCTGGTCGCTCAGGAATGGAGATTTCATTCCACCTAATTCTCTTTGAAATCTCCCGGCTCAAGGATCCCAACTATGATCTAGAAAACCTGAAAAGGAAAAAAACAAACTGAAAAGCCAGCTTTCCTGGTGAGAGCAATTGCTTCCTGGAACCCCTCAGACTCTCTGGCTGAGAATCCTGGGTGACTTTAAAGCTATGGGTGAATGCTGTGATAATATATGTGTGTGTGTGTATATATATATATATATATATATATATAATGTTTATATATAAATTGTGGCAGTGTAAGCCAATGCCACTGTGTAATATGGCAACTTTGGCACCCAGGACTCTCAGCCAAAGGGGCTGAGAGGGTCCAGAATGTGAAACTGTTATAAGGAAGAACCTGGCTTTTACATATATTTAGAATTATGTAACTAACATAACCTGAAATTACCTTCATGTGACACACTTAACTATAACAGATTGTCTTTCGATAGATCTTGAAAGGAGAACTAGAAATGAAAAAGAAGACAATGGATACATTGTGCACACTAAGTCTGGATCTGTTTTCCACATTAAAAAATAAGACGGTGTCACAGAAAAATGATGCCAGGCTGGAGAACTTTGCTCAGAGGTGGGATGATCTTGTGCAGAAACTGGAGAACATTACCAAGAAGGTAGGTTGTACATCACAAAAAAATCATTTTTGTTTGCATATGCAGTTTCACAAAAGAATGATTATGTACAGTAGTTCTCATTACATTAAAATATTTATGTCTGGGTCAGAACTGGCCTCAGACAGAACTGGTATTTTGGTAGGTATGAACTGTGCCTTGCTTGTCTCAGAGTGGAGTACAGAAAAGCTGACAAAAGGAATCTGTTAATTCACAAGGTTTATAAAGCACATATGGCATAGCATACTGTAGCTAAGCAGAAAAGTTTTCAATGTCCTGTCTTGGCTTCTCAAGGCATAATGTGCACAGGTATTTTTTTAAATTACAAATCTTTCCTAATTATATCTAAAGCCTTTTTTTGTTTTTGTTTTGGACAAAGTAGAATATGGTTGGAAGCCCTGTCTTTGTTTGCTGTCTGTGTCCAATAGGGAGATTACTCCTCACTTCCTGTACTAGAGACACAGTCTAACATAAAGGAAACATATTACTGGAGTATTGGTGTCAGCATGCAACAAAAGAACAGAGCTTTTCACAGCTATTTTATAAATATGCTCATCAGTAATATTTGTATAATGATACAAGAGAGACTAAGGTGTCAATTAATTAATATTTTTTTCACACAAGATCGACATAACTTTCACTCGATTACTATGGGAATCATGGGTGAAAATTGTGTGACTCTTGTGCAAAAATATGTATAAGTAGCCCCTAGGGGAGGGACTGCATTTGCCAAACTATCATTTAACAAGGTTTCTTTGAAAGGTGCATTCAGAGCAAAAATAAATACTATTGCATGCTAGTGTGTTGCATGAAGTTTTGACTCATCAGTATTTTTCTAAACAGCAGCATACAAGCTGTGGGCTCACACACAAAAAAAGTATAAGAAAAGCAATGGGTATTGGATGTCTATGCTTTGCTTCTGTTTCTAGATATCTTTTTAAGCAAGCATAGGTGTATATATGTGTATATTGACTGGCAACGTTTAAATGTTTACATTTGCTTGGTATGTACTCCAAGCTGGTAATTGTTGACACCTGACTGCAACAATACACTACAGTTTGGTTTACCTAAATGGTTATCAATATTTAGAAATACTTGAGTAAAAGATTCAGGAGTTCAATAAAAATGACGTCATCTTTAATTCTGAAAATAGCTATTTTCTTTGCCACACTAAGCTGCCAAGGGAATCCAAGCTTTTCTTCTATTTTACCACATTCATTTTTTGTTCCTTTTATTAGGTAAGAATCAAGTGAAATAGATATCTAGACCTCACTTATCCAGCTTCACTTTTGACCCTAAACCCACTCAGCTTTTACACTGTCAAAAAACAAAATCATTATTCCTACCTATTATTCTGCCAATCTAGATATCATCTTTGACCTTTCCTTCCAGTATCACATTCAGTCACTAAACAGAATGTATTGCTTTTTTATATCAAAAAAATTTCTTAAACACTACCTTTTATGACACAGGATGCCACCAAGGTCTTAGATCATGTACACAATATAAGCTGACTAGACTTTTTCTCTAACAGGTCTTCACCACCAAGCTGTCCTGAATCAACTCTACTATTATAAATGCTGCTGGCAGAAGAATTAATTTCTTCAGTCACATTATGCTTTTCTGTCCTATCTGTCTTTACTTCTTCTGTCCCTTAAAGCAGAACAGCTGCCTGTAGTGAACTGCAGACTGAGTCCGACAGCTGTTCAAATGTTCAAGCTTAATTACAGCTAACCCAACTGAAACCTTGTTCATCAGATGCCTTGGTAATACATACAACTTACAGATTTGTATTTAGTTCCTTGCACACTGAAAACAGTACCCTAAATGGAAACATTTCCTCACTACTATTCCTTGTTCACTAGCACCTGTCGCATTATCAGAATTAAATACTGTGCATATACAGCTTGAGTGGGGGCATGCCTCTTCTATTCTATTAGCGTAGTAGACATGGAAAGAGTGCAAGTTTTTCATGTTACAATAACAATACTATGTCATCACTTTGACAAAAAACAGAAAAAAATGGTGTGCAGAGGGCTGAGCAGTGCATTAAAATAATGAATTACAACATAAGATTAGTTTCAGATGTAGCAGTTCCAGTATCAAACGAGTCCACCAAGCAAGCCTGTAATCACAATCATGTCACACTGCTGGTCTCCAAATTTGATAATCGATAGTGTTATCCATAAATCCAGCAATGATCCTCATAAAAACACTACTAGCTTGTTTGTCATGGGGCTTTCAGTAGTCAACCAGCATTATGTTAACACTGTTCTAATTCCAAATTTAGAAAAATTCTAGCTAAATGCATCAGAAGCTGCAGATCATACTATTGTTGACTGAGCTAGTCATACTGTTATCAACTGGATAAATACTGGATAAATCAACTGAATAAGGCATCAGATACCAACAAACAGTTTGCCTGTTAATAACGTACTGCTCTTTTGCTATTTTTAGAATTAACCATTGCAAAATGTTTACTGCTATAACACTAGTTCATTTGTGTGTACACAGTACAATTAACAACTGCTGTATGACAGTCTAAACAAGACACAAATCCAGTTAATATGTCACATGAAGCTGCCTTAGGTGAATTTCACTGGCAGGCTCAACAGGTATTTGTGGGACTTTTCAGGGAGACTGAGAGAAACTGTAAATGCATATGCACGTATATGTAAGTGCTGTAGCACATATTTTTTTAAGGGGAGCCCATAGTTCCACGTATTCTCCCACCCTCCCCACACACACACTCAAGATCTACTGTCCACGGGGGAGTTTAAACAATTTACTTTTCTCTGGTGCTGTTCTGGGAGTATAAGTGGGGGAGCTAAGTCCCTGATCCTGAGCACTGCATTCTAAAAAATGCACACATACCATTATCAGCAGAGATATTTAGTCAGAAAATGATAAATATATTGTTATATAATAAGAAATCACAGTGTAAAAATAACACAAACTATAGTCTAGGAAAATAAAAAGGGAAAAGTTGAGGTGCATGTTCTGTTAGTAAAAGGTGTGCATGCCAAAGCAAAGCATGTTCTTGGTAGCACCATCAGTTGTTTAATATTTTTTTACCACACATGCTCACCCCTAAACTTATATAGATTATCTCTGACAATCATTTTTAAGTAATACAACTAATTCTGGATACTTATGAAAATACTTATCTTTCAAAAGATATCTTTCCTTAACTTAACTTATTAACCTCATTTTCCTTTTTACCACATCCCTAACTGCCATTCAGTTTATATCTGAATACTTTTTTTTCCTGTTCATACAACTATTACTGTATTTGTGATGCCAGGGATACCACAACAGAGGGGGTGAGTATGGTAGCTTTTGTATGCTCTCCAGGGACCGTGTGTAGCGGAGTTCCTTCACATTGCGGGGGCACGCCACGCCCCCATCGGTACTTTTATCTTCTGACTGTACACATCAATCGACTTAGATGGGATGCAGAGCAATCTAGCTAAATGTACAAAATGCCATATTTAGAATAGACATAGACTCTGGATATTGTTCCTAAAGTGAATCTGTAATTTTAGTAAGGTTGTTAAACTCAATCCCCAACATGCAGAGTAATATATGTCTCCAATACAATCCTGTCCCCTTTCACTGCTGAAGTTTAAATCATGTGAATGGTGAATTGGCCTCAGGACAGGACATAAGAGGAAAGGTGCACATCAACAATGTGTGCCACCGCATTCTAAGAAACAGAGCAGATTAGAACCTGCTGGGGGGTGGAGAAATATGTTGCATGTGGGTTCTAGGACACTGGTTATCATGCCCAAAAGAGGGCAGACCAGAAAGGAATGTGCAGTATAGACATGTGCGATTCGTTACGAATCGAAATTCGTACGAATTTTCCTGAAATTCCGAATTTCGGAGCATCCGAAATCCGAATGGCAGTTTCCGAATTATATCCGAAATACGAAATTCCGTTAACGAATTTCGGATCTGAATTTCTTTGAGACAGGAACTAATATTACCCCTGTAAATGAGGTTGAACAACATGACAAGATTTTTTTTTTAATCCGAGATACGGATCCGCTGCTGCTGATGCATTACAATACACAGTTACACACACAGGCAGGAAATACGAAATTCCGTTGACGTATTTTCGTTCCGTTATGAACATTCGTTATATTGAAGGTAAAAAGCAAAGTACATTTATATTGGAGTTGATGGTAGTTTTTTTAAAGTCCGAAATACGGAATTCGGAATACGGAATCCGTTAACGGAATTCGTATTTCGTTTTGGTTGACCAATCAGAGAGGTTCTCTTCTGCTGCTGAGAGTTGCATTACAAATACAGGCAGGAAATACGAAATTCCGTTGACGTATTTTCGCTCCATTACGAACATTCGTTATATTGAAGGTAAAAAGCAAAGTTCATTTATATTGGAGTTGATGGTAGTTTTTTTTAAAGTCCGAAATACGGAAATATGGAATTCGGAATGCGGAATCCGTTAACGGAATTCGTATTTCGTTTTGGTTGACCAATCAGAGAGGTTCTCTTCTGCTGCTGAGAGTTGCATTACAAATACAGGCAGGAAATACGAAATTCCGTTGACGTATTTTCGCTCCATTACGAACATTCGTTATATTGAAGGTAAAAAGCAAAGTACATTTATATTGGAGTTGAAGGTATTTTTTTTTTAAATCCGAAATTCGGATACGGAATCCGAATTCCGAAATATAACCGCCACTAACGAAAATTCGTATTTCGTACGAATCCGAATTGAGTTCACTTACGAATTACGAAATAACGGATATTCCGAAACGAAACAGAACACATTTTTTGACGGCGCACACGTCTAGTGCAGTATACATCCTGAATTTGAGGGAAGGCGTGAGCTTTAAAGGATATAGAAGAGCATATGGATCTTGGACACCATTCACAAGAAAAACATTGAAAAAGAGGCGAGGCTGGTATTGGGCAGGGCAAGCACAATGTTCACCATAAAGTGCTAGATACTTTTTGTTGTGTGCTCTTAAAAACAC